TACAAAGAAAGCGGCATTACAAAGTGACATTCACATTTATTCGACATCAGTATCGGGACACGGATGTCAAGGGGGAACATATATATTTTTTTATATAAATATGGTTAACGCAAACCTGTCAGCCCATACGGGTTAGCCCGTCTTCTTGTACAGGGAAATGTAGTTTTCAGGTCCATATGGCACAACAGCCGTTTCAATACGGGCCAATCTTTTTTTCAAACATCTATTTGTTTGTGTTTCTCGCTTGTGATGGGGCTTTGTAGGATGAACGTTGAGATTCATAAGGGGTACGGGGTGACCAATAAGGTCTGATAAGGGGTTGACAGATGTGATTATAGTAGTGTAGTGTATAGTGTAGTGCAGGGGTCGGAAACCTTTTTTACTGGGAGAGCCATAAAAGCCAAATATTTCTAAATATATTTCATTGAGAGCCATATAGTATTTTTAACGTATAATAAATTAAATATGTCTTACTTTTAATGCGACTTCTGGTCACGGGACCCGTGACCCGTGAAATGTATCTTCAAAACTAATTTCTGTTTACTTTAAAATGACACAGTATTATTAAGCAATATTACAAGTTTTTTAAAATCAGTTCCAAACTGATTTTTTTTTCAACTCAAAATTCTCTGGGAGCCATATGCCGTCACTCGAAGAGCCATATATGGCTCGCGAGCCATAGGTTCCCGACCGCTGGTGTAGTGTATGGTAGTGTCAACCCATACGGTTTACCTCGTATTCTTGTACAGGGAAATTTAGTTTTCAGGTCCATACGGCGTAACAGCCGTTCCAATACGGGCGAATTGTTTATGTCTGTTAGTGTTTCTCTGCTTGTGATGCGACCGTGTAGGATGAACGTTGAGATTTCCAAGGGAGACGGGGTGACCAATAAGGTTTGAATAAGTCTGTAATAAGGTGGTGCACTACTGATACGAGGTTCAGAGGGATGGTTGACAGGTATGAGCACGTGGCTCGAGGGAAATTACTTCACGGACCAAGAAGCACTGGCCCCTCTCGGGCTGAGAACATTCCGTGATTCTTACCACCCCACCCACTTCGGCAGATGTCGTGTGCGCTCACGCATTGCACGACTTAAATGTTTAAAAATATATATTTTACTAGGCAATGCCCACTGAGCTATGTAGCTATTGTTTTTTCAAAAGCGACCCGGTCATCATAATCAACTAAAGTGGCTTATATCGTGTGGAAATGTATATGGAGGAGCCAAATTATCGAAAAGCGCACGTTAATTTTAAATGTGGTGGGGAGGAAAAAAACGGAGGACTTGGATAAAAATCCACGCGACCACGTCGAGAGAGACACGCAAACTCCAAGTATACAGCAACAGGCGTCAGGGGTCGGGAACGAACGCACGACCTCTTGCATACCGGGCGAGGGAGTTAACATCTCGCAAATGCGGCACGACCTTTGCGAGCACACGGGTCGCAGATCTTGCACGCATCTCTTACCGAGAGTTACAACCCTTCGCGTCACGCAGTAATGGGACACTGCAGAGTAAACACTGCACCCCTGTGCGGCCACACGGGACAGCCTTGCAAGTGGACTGCAAGCCACGTCGCATTGTGTTCCAATCAACAGCCGCGGCGCTGCAGGTTGCGTTGAAACATTTCTGCTCAGAAAACTCCACGTGTGGACGTGTGTTCTTCTGCAGCCAGACGCACGACATGTAACGTCCTTAACAAGGAACACATTAAGCTTTTAAACTACTCTCGATTTGCAATTAAAATTACGTGTGCATGATTATATTAAGCGCTACGCATCGATATCCAGTTTCCGCAAAACTGCCTGTTTTCATCTACAAAGATCCCCACAGCCTTTAACAGACTGTTATGGGTAAGTGTTGTTAGCAAGCACCTATTAAGGCCGGTACGTGCAGGATTGCACAGACATTTTAGCGGAAAAAACCCCCGTAACAGTCATTACCACTGCCTTCAAAAGAAGCAGCATATGAGGTTTCATCCGAGTGGTCCCCCGTCTTAACAGCACATCGGCTAGAGGTAAGAGTATCACCTAATAATGTATGTAGTTTACCGAGACAAAGTATAACTTATTATTAATTACATTTGTATTATTAAACAAAACATGTTGATAATTGTTTTGTCAATAGCTTTGATTGAACTTCAACAATATTTGTTTTATATTCAGAGCAATCTGTCGTTGTGGTTGATCGTTAGACGCGTAAACCACAAAGGCAATTAGAAACATCACGTCTACCTTTCATCATTACAAAAGCATGCCTTGACATTATGATGAATGCCTGTTCAAGTGGATACATGTAATATGAAGTGTGTGATGTAATTTTTAAGCCACAAAAACTAAAATGTAAATCACGTGCGACGATTGTGGTAAGCTAACCTTTGAGCTACCCCTATGAGATTAATGCAGAAAAGCCGTGTTTCTTGTTGAAGTTTAACACGTAGGCTTTCGCGACCAATGTTATTCATAATCAACGTTTTTGGGTTTAGATCGCGTTTATTTATAAATGTGTCGTAACCCTCCACCACCCGACACGGCCAATCAGTAAAAAAGTGTCACGTTGCTTTAGCCCACCGGTGTGTTGAAGCCACAACATTTACAATTTGAGTACGACGTTTCGCTGGTAATTGCAACCAGCATCATCGGGCAATTGTTGAAGCTGGGGACTGTGCATTTCAGTGTAAATACAAACGTAGACGACTTTGTAAATACACTGCTTGATGATCTCCCCACACCGTATCCGTCATGGGCATTGTTTTTCCATACATAACCACACAATGCTCGGTGTGGGTTGAATTAGAAACCTAGGACCAGTGGTGCCATTTAATCAACGCCGATTTTTACCCCAGAGCTGAGAATCAAAACCTGGTCGCCGGGTTCATAGCACAATGCTCTCAACCACTGTGCCATTTTGCTCCATACTATTTCAGGTGCACGTGTACATAACATTATACGACCACATTCTAATTGTGCTTCAATAATCCCACCCCCAATATGGGTTTCATTAAACAAGAACCTTGGCTTGATCTTGCCCTAAACAATGTAATCAACTTAATCGGTCTGTACCCTTTGGGTTTTTCGGTAAAGTCACGTAGGTACAAAATTTAAATAAATAAAATCACGTTTCGGAGGCGGAAGCTTGTGTTGCCTCCGAAACGTCGTGATTTTTTATTTTTTTACCTACGTGACTTTACCGAAAAAACCAACGAGTATGAATCCTTGCAGTCACGAAAACTTCAAATCTAGAATTAATCGGTCTGCACGAGATGCTATGCATTCAAGGACTGCTTTGTCAGTTCAGGCAGTACAGGGGGAAAAAAACCGTGCGAGTGACAGAATGTCCAGCCTTTTCACCTAGAGATTGTAACTTACAAATGACAATGTTTGTCATTGTTTAAGTACTTTGCATCTGTCAAATGGGCGAATACTTTAATGCATTGGACTAACTACTCTTGGTCAGATGGACTTGGTGAGAGAAATTTGCCGTGACATGTAAGGATTTACCAAGGGTTGAACAGAGTATGTGATGGAGCGGAGTAGTTGATGTTTTTCTTTAGTTACGAATGAAAGGCTGTTTAAAAATGTGCATACATCAAATATAGCAGTCCACTGCTACAGAAAACCTACTTGTCCACATTACATTTCACATTACCAGTCTGTTACCGTTCTGCGACTGTTGCGAGAAATCACAGAGAACCAAGCTAACAATGACATAAGTATGACTATAACAATGCACAATCAAGCTCAACGGCACCAAGCGATTAAACTGTTAGGACAAACGTAACACGATTTGTGCTTTTTGAAAAAGCGATTACCGTCATGAATACAGAGACGGGACCAACTGCAGAATCCTTTAAATGTCATGCCAATGGTCCATTAAACTATAACGTTACAATGCAGACAAAAAATAATTCCATGACATCAGCCAGTCAGTCAAGCATTGACTGAGAATTCAATGCGAGGCCTTATGAAAAAAACAGACACGCAACGCTGAAGCTAAATGTCACGTGCCACTCAGTCTGCAACCTGCAGGCAGATGTCTGTAACAATGGAAGCCAGTTACTGCTGGACACAGAACTAAATAAACTGGATAATCTAGCATGGGCTTATTCCATCCTGTGTTGCTAAACAGAAAGTATACAATTTATCTATTTAACCATTGTGGAAAGGATGGTATTTTTTTCATAGAGATATAGTTGAGAGCTCAAGCATTATTTGTAAATATTTTGATGTATTTGGATTATGTTAGTCATATGATCAAATGTCTTCCCAACATTCATTTTCCAAACATATTCCTGCCTGCAATATCTTAGGTACCTGAAAATGCCACGTGATAAATAACAGTGGATACTGACATGTGTGGTTAATGAATTAAGAGTGGCAAATCTCACAAGTGTACTATATTATACTATATTATTTTTATTTTGTTTTATTTTTCTACCTATGTGACTTTACCGAAAGAACCAGAGTATATTATACTATGTAACACGATTTTTGTTCCTGGGTAGTGTTATTTTCTAATTGCTTATGCCTCAAAAGTATAGAAAATGCCTATTATCCCCCACAAACTTTGCTTTTGTGACCAGGACTTTACGTAAAGACACAAATGCACGTTTTCGCATTGAAAATAGGTCAATTTCAAAATATCACTGTCCTGAGCAAAGTTTGTGGGGAGTAATAGCCATTTTCTGTACTTTTGAGGCATAAGCAATTGGAAAATAACACTACCCAGGAACAATTTTTTTTTGTTTTTGTTACTTACACAGTGAATAATTATTGTATAGGCCATTTGAAGCGAAATAAGAAAATGTGAGGAATACAGATGGCTACATTGTCACATGACACAATGCATATAAACACAATCGGGATGAATTCAGGAAAAAAAAACATTTTACAAAATGTTGAAGTAAAAAGACCAAGAATACACTAAAAAACATCGGCCATGGTCAATCCATGGCCACATTAAGGCCTCCCTCCCCAAGTCACCACCACCTCCCACGATGATCATCTGCAAACCAGCTTTATTTCACACTAATTCCTCGATGGACATCCTCAGACACATTTCCTTTCCTTGGCTGCCCACTCCATTATTCTTGAGCATCATCCCTTTTATCGGCGTGTCCTGGCATTTGTGAACCACGTTATAGCAGTTATACATACCGATTAAAAACTCTTCTTTTAAGCTTCACCAATAAAACAATTACAAAAACAATCTTGATTTGAAGCTTTCGTGACTGCAGGAATCCATACTCTCTCTGGTTCTTTCGGTAAAATGACGTAGGTAGAACAAAATAATAAAACACGACGTTTCGGCCGAAAGAACCAGAGGATAATTACAAAAACAATTCAGCTGTAAACGCAGCAGACTCCCCTAGATAAATCAGATGCAAACCAAAGAGATTGTTTTAATATATTTATTGAAGTTTTTTCATATTTTCATTTATCTACTTTAGGTTGTTATTTTTAAAAGTATGGTCTGGCGCGTTAAAAATAACCAAAACAAAAAAATTAACTATCCACAACTAAAAATGAAGTTACACACTGAAAATATTTCCATTATCAACATAACATTTTCAGATATATCAGCCTCCTACTGGTCACGAGCCCCCACCTTGCCTTTATCCTTAGAGTATGCAATGAAATGTCATAATTGTTAACAGATTAAAAGGCGAGCAATGCAAACTTGCACATTTATCATCCTTCGAACAGAACGTGCCTAAAAAGACGCAATCATTTTCTCTGACAAAAGTGTTTAGTGGTTTAAATGTCGTTCATCCAAGCTTTTCTATTTATATCCTTTAAATAATAGCTTGGGTGAGCTTACAAGGAAGGTGGGCACTGAACTCTGCAATGAATTATTTAACAATATACACCATATATGAAACATTCACTCTCATGTCAACATTTTAAGCAAACGAGCACACTGCAAGTTGTCGGCATGACAGGCATCATCAGTATTCTTGGGCTGCCACAGAGCCCTCTGCTGGGGCCGTTTCGTTGCAACAGGTCCCAGTGGTAGAATATCCACTTGCTGCGAGAGCAGAGGGCAACCCTTGAGCTTCTGCAATGAAGACACTGAGCGCTGTTTGCCGAGATGGGCCAATTGCGTGGATTAAAGGACACATCTGTTGCGCTGCAATAGTTGAGTCTCACTTTCAAGAACCGTGTTAGCACATGTGTATCGCTACATATATGTGCATGTATATATGCATGCAACACAGCCATTACTTGCATTGGAAAACTGGGGGCAGGATAGGGGTGTATAAGACATATGCTACCCGATCAGTCACAATGGAATAAATAAGCCATGGAAAGCGCCTGTCCATTTGGGAAGACTTCATCCATCCCTCCCAAAAGAGCCTCAGTTTTATGCACTTGTAATGACTTATGTATTCATAAATGCATTTCTTAAAACACAACGAGTTACCTTAACTTCCTATTTAACCACTGCACACCAAAAGGTACATTTGACCCTCCTCATGAGTAAAAATCCAATGCTCTCAATTGTTACACTTTTATTTTATGTTGCAGTCAAAGAAAAGAAACAGTTTTAATGAAAAAGAAGCTGTAAAAGTGGATGGTTAGCGAAGGAGAAACCATGCGCTATTTTCGTAGAACAAAAAGGTAAATATAACTGGCAAGTATAGAGCACAATTGGCAGAATGTTAATTGTTGAAACCGGGACCATTACCAAAGGATGTGAGATTCAGCATAATTATAGGAGTGTTACAAAAATCGCTTACATACATTTTTTACACGTTTATTACAAAATAATTAACAAGACTTCCAATTCAAAACGTGACAATGCAAACTTTAACCCAATCGCCATCACCTAAGCCCAGATTTGTTAAAAGCTTGTTGCAGAATAATTTTGCCATAGAATTATATAACCATGTTTTGATTATAAAACATAACACAAATTGTGCACCATATTTTTACATTGGACGGAATACTCAAAAACTGTCCATGTTATATGGTAAGTTAATGAACATGAAGTAAATGTTCCCTGGTTGGAATATACAAGATACCAGCTTGAAGGAGTTGCTCAGCTGCTTAAGTTATTAAAATTACAAACACCTTTTTTGGTTGTGTTCAGCAGTTGCAAAACGTTTTTAAGTTGCAAAAGGGGTCAGGGTACAGACGCTGCCCGTAGCAAACATGAAATCCATGTCAATTCACACCAAACAGTGGCCATTGAGTAATGGAGAAAAACCAGTGAACCACTTTCCATCAACTACAGCAAGACAGTACGACAAAACCATCCCAGTGTTCGGTAAGTGGCCCTTTAAGGATATAGAGCACAAAGGAAATAAACAAAGCAACATGTCTTTCGTTTTAGTGAAAACTGTGATGGGGTTCTGTGGAAAGTGTTCATCGAACGTCAGCGCATTTGTCAACACGCCTTTTATGTAACAAAAGACAAAAAGTTGTACTTGTGTTGCTAGTTCCGTTACATCTGATAACATACATGTACAGCCCTTTTTTCCCCAATATACTGCTGAAGGAGGGCCTCTCTTTATCCGTCAATGTCATGGAGGATATTTTACCAGAATCCCACTGGACTGGTCGGTGCGAGTTAATGAAAACGTGACACATTTTTTACTGTTTGGCCGTGTCGGGTGGTGGAGGGTTACGACACATTTATAAATATCGCGATCTGACCCAAAAACCTATATTATGTATATTATGAAGGCAAGGGATTGTAGACCCGGGAGCATAGCAGTACAGCACAGCATTGGCTCTTGCACAACCCTCTGCTGCTTGCTATGTCGTCCCAGTCAATAAACCATTGTGCATGTGGCCACCCATCAAAGCATCAGGCATGATTAGCTTCCCAGATCTGGGAATTTCCGAGAGATTTGGTCATAGGCCTTTAAGAAAATTGTATTTATTAACTGGCGACATGACTCGCCAACACTAACCACGAGGTACTTGCAAATGGGAAAACCACGAAGGGTATAAAGCCAAAAATAACACACTTTGGACAAAAAGAAAGTATACGGAGGAGATTATTCACAGCACACGTGATGTGAAAGCCAGCAGTTGATAATGGAGTGACTTCCAAGAATGAATTTCTTCTGCAGAATTACAACTAAAGACTCCCCAAGGTTACAGGCGCAGGAGGCTCTGCTGAGCAGGGATTTTGCCTAAGGGTTTAGTCCAATGTATCTGTACCTCTGTAATCATCTTGCAAGACACCACTTATTTTTAAACAAGGAGAGGTAAGAACAATTGTTTTTTTACCATGCCTGCAAAATATTTTTTTACCATGCAGCAACCATGGCACAAGGGACAGGGTATTCGGGAGGTTCGTCGTAACAGCTTCAAGGCTCCTTGCCGATGAGCATTAGTTTGCGACCAAAAGCCCAGGGAGCCCATTAGACCCAAGTTGAAATAACCAACAGTCAGTGACGACATCTGCCCAATAACATATGGATCATTGTGGACAGTTGCAATCCAGACCTACCGATATGGGGACCAAGAGTTTTTTTTCAGGTTAAGAGCCCAGTATACCCTTGAGACCTGATCATTACATTTTGTGAATGCACCAAAAAAGGAATAAAGAAACATACGGATGCACGTGTTTAAAATTCCCTACGTGAAAGTTGAATGTTATTATAAAGGTAGACAATGCTGTGTATTTTTAAAAAATAGTCCTGCAACACCAGCAAAGCACAAATACAGCATATTACAAACATGCACAAGCTCTCTCAAATGTTGACACGTGTCTTTAGTTTGGCACAATTGTCAGAATGTTTCAGCTGTACAATCCCTTACTTTTCAACGGGATGGATTTTATGTAAAGGTTTATACGCACAACATCATTTAATTGATGAACGTGGAATTATTGGAATGCAGAATGTTAAAAATAATAAATAAAAAGGATTGAAAAAAAGGGGACAAAGGGAAATATATAACTTACTTATGCAGTTATCATAGACATGGGCTGTATGTCAATTGGTCCATTGACGAGGTGTTTGCAAATGTAATATGCAACAGTGTTTGTAAAGCACGCAATACATACGCTGAACAAAAGCACTTATGCGAGATTAAGAGTTCAAAAATGTCAAAATATGAAAACGATACCTATAAGCATCATCAATATAATTAACAGCTTATTTTATTTTATGAACATTTCAAAATAATAATACAAATTACACGCATAAGAAACACTAAGACACACGAAACCCTCGTTGGTTTGTGCCACACGTAAATACGCGTTTACGTCTGGAAACTATTTTCGCCTTCCACCGGCGCAGACGACTGGAATGATCCTGACTGCAGGTAAAAGTGCACGGCCTCCGCCACCTGGGGGTTTCCAGCAAACGAGCCGGACTCCGGCCCCGGCGCGTCCGGCGTAGACACCGCCTCCTGCACCATGCACATGCGCCGCTGGTGCTGCTGTAGCAGGCTCTGGAAAGGGAAGCCCTTGCCACACACGCTGCACTCGTGGATGAACACGCCGATGTGAAGCAGCGTGTGCTTCACTAGGTTTCCGCTCGACGTTGTCTGCAGGCCGCACACCTTGCACACCAGCTTCTCCATGTCCACGTGCAGCCGCGCGTGCCTCCGCACCACCGCCATCTTCTTGGGCACGGCCATGCCGCACACCTGGCACGGCATGGAGCCGTAACCATCGTCCGAGGTGTCCGCTATCCCGTCAGACGTCTGCTGCGGAGGCTGCTGGCGCTGCCAGGCGTTCTGCCGACCGGCGTACGATTTACGCATCTTGCAGTTCTTGTAGTGCAGGCTGAGCCGCGCGGGGGAAAGCAGCTTCTTACCGCAGTCATTGCAGGAGAGGACCGTGATGCCGGCGTGGGACAGGATATGCTCCACGGCCCTGTTGAAGAGGCTGAACTTGCGCCTGCACACCCTGCACTCGAGAGTCTCGCGATCGACATGCATCGTTGCATGCTCACGCAGAGAGGACATGTTCTCTTCCAGGGTCTCTCCGCAGATCTGGCACTGCACGTACCCGTACGCCTTTGGAGAGTCAACAACTGATCCTTCCTCAGGCGTTTCGTTTTTCAAGCCTGAGGCCGTCATTAACGCCGTTGGCATGTACTTTCCTTCCACTCCAATAACGTTATAATCTTGTTCATTCTGCAAAATCTCAATCTTGTCTTCTTTCGCGTGCATTCCTTGGCTACCAACAATGTCGGCAGTGTCGTAGGAACACATATTACTCTCGTCATCCAGCTCTTGTTTTACCTCTATCATGGGGAGGGGCAGCTGTCCATTTTCATCCTCTGTGGACCCGTGCGAGATTCCGTCAGTTCTGACCTGATCTCCGGAGCTCCCATTGTGAAATCCGATAATGGACTGCTGCTCAGAGTTTCTCCTACACCTACCCTGGCTGTCATCGGAACCACTCAAAAATCTCGGACCCAAGGTGGGAAACAGGTCCTTTTCATTTCCGCAGCCCTCAATGGCCGACTCGTGACCTGCATATCGCTCCTGGAGACACTGTGTATTGTTAACGCGCTCAGTTTTTACATCGCAGCTCACCCGCGCTTTCCTGTCTTTGAAGTTTGCGCTCTCGGTTCTCTTTTTCAGCTGAACCAGCTCCCTGACGTCTGCAGTGTATCGCTCCTGTTGCACATCATCATCGAAGGAGGTGCTGGTACCATTTGCGATCTCGTCCACATCGTCGAGCGTTTCCAGGATGGGCTGGATGATCAGCTCGAGCGACTCGAGGCCTAGGTTCTGCGCCGCACTGTAGAGTTCGCGCACGTCACCCCGGCCGACCAACACGTCCCCGCGGTACAGGAAGTCGAGGACCTTCTCAAAGGCCACCACCCCCACAAAGTCCAACACAAATGGACCCAGGCTGCTACAGGGAGCATTGAAGAGAACGGTCCGGAAGTATCTGCAGGTGCTGCTCAGCACGGCCTTGTGGGCCAGGTAGCGCCGGCTCTGCACCTCCACGACGACGTCGCAGAAGGAGCCCGTCTGACGGAGCTCACACAGCTCTCCCAGCAGCTCGGGCATCATTTGGACGTTCTTCAGGCGAAACCCATCCTCCACCGCCTCCGCCATGGTAGACTCCCTTCTGTCAACTAAAGGAGGGGGAAATGTGTGTTGGAATTAGTAAGAGCAGGTAAAACAAGCATTTCCTTATGTTTATGAAAAAAATTAATGTAAAGTTTGGCAAGCCACAAAATGACGTCCTGCTTGGCATTTGCGCACGGGCTAATGATGGCCACAGCAATAAAGCTGCTGGGTGCTGATAACATTAGCTTGCAGGTATGAGTTCATATCGCACACAAAAAAACCCTCAATAATCTTACCTATATTTCAGAGTTTTTTTCAATGTTACAACGTAAAAGAAACCACTGTGTTAACGTATGCCAATCAATAATGTTTAGCATGCCAAAATGAAAATTAAAGCACAAAATCTAAGTCCACTCATCATTCTGGTTCACATACAGTCAGCCTCAATTCATATTTGAAAAAGATGTGCATTCATTCAGCTGTTTAACAACCAATGTCAGCTGCGTGAGAACCACTAGGGTATAAAAAAACTGTTACTGGAGATAAGGGTCAGTGTGTGATATGCACACCATAGTAACTTTTTCAGACTAATTTTATACTCAATGCTTTACATTCCCCCTATTGTTTTAAATAAAGGATACTCAAATGAATTGTATAATTGCAGTACTCACTATTGTTATTTTTGTTAAAAGGTTTCCTTTTGGTTGCAACAAGCGATTGAGCTGGTCACACAGGCAACATTGCTCTCAATGATGCAGTGCACATTCTGCCAACACCTCCAAGACCAATTAAAACAGGAACACATTGTAATACACATCTATACCGTTAACTTAATTCACTTTAAAAACATAATTAAAACTCATTTTTATTATGAACGAAGTTCAGGAGAGACAACCTAGGTACACAGCTACAAGTGATGTTTTATTAGCTGGGTCTTCTCCTTCAACAGAAATCACTAATTTCATTTTATGCTCCTGTGATGAAAGATTGGCGCAATTATCGAAACTGAGTTAGTTTCCATCAGGCAACTTCAAGCTCCATCAGTTGGACAGTCTATCTTTAAATAAATTAATCGTCTAAATGTACATACTGCATGTTCATTCAGATGAAAAGATTGACCGACAATGATTCGAGTTTATCATGTCGGATAACCATCACGAGACGAATGTTAAAATACCATCCACCAAAGGATGTAGAATGAATTGTGGAGTATCAAAACTCACTTTTTACTTATTATAAGCTGCATTGTGTTGAAGTTACAGTATCCTCTTAAGGGGGCAAAGGCTGACAGCCTTTTAACAATACTCATACAGTATGCGATGTTTGCTGGCGAGGACGTCCAGTCACAAGTGATTGAGATGCAAGGTGAATAGGACCTTCCTCGCGTTACTCGCGACTTTTGTGTTTAGTATTTTTCTCTATTCGTGTTTCTGAACAATGGGAATTCCACCCCCCCCCCCCCCAAATGCTGTCTGTGCTTTTATTTTATTTTTTCCTTCAGTTGGTTAGGGTAAAAAAAAGCATTTGAAAACAAAAGGAAAGCGAGCGGCTATGCAGCGGCTGGCAACAACGGCTGGTGGCCTGAAAGGCAGAGCAGCAGATGGGGGGAGGAGGAGGAAGGGAAAAAAGAGACGGAAGACAGAACTTGGCCCAGACACACACGGCCAAACTACGCTTCCAGCTTTAGGGCGTCTCGTGAAAATATCGTCGACTACAAAGCCGGCGCACAATACACCGGGCAACACCGCAAATGCGCCCCCCTTTACTCAGTGTGCTTGCAACACACCTGGGGCAGCGAGGGGCATCGTTTTGCCAGGGCTAGCTCAGCGGTTTGACACTGTAAATACACCATGCACTCGGACAACAAAGGAAGGCTTTTAACCGCACCTCAACCCACGCTACTAGACAGAAGCGGCGTACATATAACGCTCCACGTACATATACCGCTCCACGAACATATACCGCTCTACGGAAATTCACCCCCCCCCCCCACCTTACTGCAGTATCACAGTACAGCATCGAGCGGCGTTATATACGTGGGACCGATTGCACGTACGGTTGGGTTACTCAATCAACTTCTACCCACGCGACTCTGCGTGCAACGATAAAATCGTGACGATTAAACAAAATAAATGGCACTTACAATGGAAGTAACAGTCCGACTAAATGGCATTATCGAGAGAGAGATGACACGCCGGTGCAAAAAAGGTACCAATAATTAATAATGGGACTCTCGATTATTTAAGCCCAAATTGTGTGCCGATGAGACCCAGGGGGAGGAGGAGGAGGCCCGAATCCAGTCCGGAGTTTTCTTGCGCAAACAAATGCCCGTGGGGGAACATATAATTGCTTGGAAAAAGCCAACGAATAAGCTCTCCGGACCTAACAAAAACAAAAACCACCGTAACGTCACGTCACGGTGGGAAGACGGTCAGAGCGAGTGCCGCGTGTCTCAGACTCCACGTAGAGCGCCTCGACTGCGCTGGGACCGCGATTCCTCGAGGTACCGGGGAGAGGTGGTGGTAGGGGGCGGCCGGAAAGCGGCCACGAGGCCTCCTCATACAGCCACTGACCAGCCTCGATCCCAGGCGCCACCGGCGGCGTTAGAGAGGCGTTCAACCCTCGTCCTCCTCCTCCTCGACACCGACGGCGAGACAAGTGCGGGATAGGCAAGCCACGCGTCTGATATCCACCCCCACTCACCACCACTCACCACCACCACCACCACCACCACCCACCACGCATCCGGCACGGCGCCTCCATTGAGCGGCGGGGCGTGTGGGAGAAGACGAGGCAGGCCACTGGGACATTCAAATTCATTGTCTCACGCCAGCCCCGGCGGGCGGCATTTTCCCCATTGTACTGCACAGATCGCGTGCCCGCCACACAAACCCCCCACTCGGGCCCTGGTGGCGGCAATAATGTGCCTACCTTTGCGTGCGTGTGTGTGGTGGCGGGCGTATGTGTGCGTGTGTGTGGCGGCCTTCAGCAACAAAAGCGTCCGTCGCCACCGAGTGAGGGCCCCCGAAATGATTGTGTCTTTTATCCCTCCAAGGAAGACGCGAACGACTCACGCCGTGTCGAGCAGAGCGGGTGGCAGAGGGAGGCGGACCGCTTCGTGTTGACAAGAAGACGACGACGACGAGAAGGCTGTGGCGATGAGTGGGGGAGAGAGAGAGACGAAGGGCGATGAGTACCTCACACGCGAAGGCCGCCACCGCCGCCTGCCTTGCCGCCTCGCTCAATCGCTCAGCCAGCCTCCCGCTTTTGCCCTTTGACCCCCCCCCTCCCCCGTCGCGTGACGTCACTGCCTGCCGACGTCACCGCCCGCCGTTTCCTGTGCGTGACGTCATTGCTGGTTGACGTCACAGCCCTCCTTCCCTCCTCGCCCGCCGTTTTTTGCGCGTGACGTCATTGCTGGCTGACGTCATAGCCCTCCCCCCCTCCTCCTCGCCCGCCGTTTTTTGCGCGTGACGTCATTGCTGGCTGACGTCACAGCCCTCCCCCCCTCCTCCTCGCCCGACGTTTACTTCGCGAGACGTCACGGCCGTGAGATGGGCGGGGCCTGCTAAGGGGGTGGCAGTTGTCGCCGTGGTAAGACGAACGCTGATTGGCTGAGAGGCGAGTTTAAATAGTGGGGGCGGGGGGGCGGGGGGATTTGTTCTCCTGCCTCGGCAGCTCTCCGACTATATATTTTTAAATCCTTTATATTAAGTTCGCTTGCTTGCTTGCTTAGGACCGTGCAAATATTTCAGTCGTTTTTAACCCACTTCCCGTGATCCAATCGAACGTGACAATGCATTTTCGTGAAACTATTTTTCCAAAATTTTACACTGTTTAGGGAATTTTTTTTAAATTTAATTACCAATTGCTTAATGCTGCCAGACAATCATCTGACCCATAGGTGGCAGCCATCTCAAGCCAGAGGACGATTGCTTGTGTTGCGATCGAAACGTCGTGATAATTTTATTATTTTTGTATCTACGTGGCTTTACCGAAAGAGCCAAAGAATATGAATTCCTGCAGTCACGAAAGCTTGCAAGTCAAGATTTTATGTGGCGCCCTTTACACAGAGGCTACGTAACGCGTTAAGTCTTACCCATTTATAATGAGAACGATATGAGTTCCAGTTTAGCACGTAGGCTTTCGCGACCAATATCATCTATAATACAGTTTTTTGGGTTTGATCGCGTAAACAGCACGAATCGGCATGTTCTGTTTACGTGACAAACGTTACTAATTGGCTGTGATATTGGTGGCGAAAGCGTACGTGTTAAATAGACAACTAGAATAAAAAATAAAATGCACGCATAGAGCATCCATAATACAAGGCTTCATTATACATTTACTTACGTATGTTATTCCCAAATAATTTGCTCGTCGTGTACTCCTGAGCAGACTTACAAACTGCCCGCGTACCCCTAACCAGCATTACGTTGTACACACAATACAGTCTAACATGGTAATGTCTCACATTCACATAGCCACTTCCGTGCCCTCTAATTTCTCACATTAACATCATGCTAATCTCTCACATTAACACAGCCACTTCCGTGTCCTCTAATTTCTCACATTAACATCATGCTAATCTCTCACATTAACACAGCCACTTCCGTGCCCTCTTAATTTCTCGCATTAACATCATGCTAATCTCTCACATTCACATAGCCACTTCCGTGCCCTCTAATTTCTCGCATTAACATCATGCTAATCCCTCACATTAACACAGTCCACTTCCGTGCCCTCTTATCTCTCACGTTAACATCATGCTAATCTCTCACATTAACATAGCCACTTCCGTGCCCTCTTATCTCTCACGTTAACATCATGCTAATCTCTCTCATTAACATAGCCACTTCCGTGCCCTCTTAATTTCTCGCATTAACATCATGCTAATCCCTCACATTAACACAGCCACTTCCGTGCCCTCTAATTTCTCACATTAACATCATGCTAATCTCTCACATTCACATAGCCACTTCTGTGCCCTCTAATCTCTCACATTAACATGCTAATCTCTCACATTAACAGCCACTTCCGTGCCCTCGTCTAGGAGGCCGCTTTCCTTCTTTTCTAGTTACATGCTAATTTCTCACATTAACATCACTCGCCCTGGCCACTTCTTTATGACCCTTAGGCGACACCCATTTCAAACCGTTTAAAACCAGTCTGCCTCAGCAGCAGACCATGCTTTCCCACCTGATGACGGACGCTTGTGTTGCACCCGAAACGTCGTGATTTATTATATTTTATACCTACGTTACTTTACCGAAAGAACCAAAGAGTATGGATTCCTGCAGTCACGAAAGCTTCAAATCAAGATTGAATACAGTCTAATTTGCATGTTTGGACAATCCGGCAAGGTGGATGGCAGGGCAAGTAGCTCGTCAAAAAGGGATTCCAAGTTGTAAGTTCCAAGTCCCGGGCAGCATATTTATGTTATGCTGCTGTAAGCCCTCTTTCAGCAGTCAGAAATATCAGAATGAATCCGATGTAACTTTTCAGTACCACCCGTATAGACATGTGGCGGTTGCCCCCTCCAAACACAATCCTGGCTGAATTTTGCCTTTAGCTGCCGAGATTGGGGATTCGTTAATAGGCGTGAAAACTATATTTGGATATAGAATTGAAATATAAAGAACGTGTATTCACGGACTTGATATGAACACGAGGTAATGAGGGACCAGCATACACACTCAGGAAAAAAAATATTTCAATTTATATTTCTTCCGAGTACAGTATATGCTGCTTACTGCCTTCAATTACCTTATTTTCCATTGAAGGGGAACTAAAATAATATAAAACAATAAAAATTCTCACAACGTTTCGACTGCAACACAAGCAATCAATTATTTTATTATTTCCCTTCTACGTGACTTTACCGAAAGAAACAAGAATATGAGTCACGAAAGCTTTAAATCAAAATTTAAGGGTAACTAAATTCAACATGCATTGAATGCACGTAAAACTGGACGAAACATGTGAAAATATTTGCAGTTTGTGGTTAGCATATACGTTTTTATTGACAAGCCTTAAAATATCCATTCCAAACCATTATCAGTTTGTACAATTGCCGTATAAAAATGGAATTTGCATCATGTTTTTGATATAAGACAACATAATAGATGTACGTTACTACAGGTAAAAAGCTCACCCACGCAATTTCATCCAAAATTAAATGTACAGCATTTACAAGTACAGTATGTAACCAGGTTTGATTTGGCACACAGCACTCTAAAGAATGCAAGGGTCGTGTTTCAATCCAGGTGCCAAAATCTCAACCACCGATTCATCTGTTCCCAACGTTTTTCACAAGAACAGCTTGTTCCTTAGAATTCCAACAAGACGCAATCCCAAAAGCTTTTGAAATGTGTTGCAGTGCATCAATAAAAAGTGTACAACATAACCACTTGTATCACAATTACATATTATACCCAGGTATATCAAAACATATCTCAACATAAAAAACATTGAAGTTCCTTCTCTGCTCTGATACAAAGCAGTTCAATTACTGATTCTGCAAAGTGTTCCTGGCTGGACGATTCCTTGTTCTAGTCGACAAGCCGAACGACCTTGTCCTTGAGAACTCTGAACTTTGGATTACTTTGAATCTTCTTATTGAACAAGGCCAAGAGTTCCTCTTCAGTGTATGGCTTCCCACCGACGTCCATGGCCAAATACTGGCCCAATACCTGTGGGTAAACATCACAAAATTGATGACCAAACGAAGCGTCATGGACGCTTTTTAGAGTAGGTGACCGAGAAGATCGAGAACAATCCTGTTGACTTATAAAAATGATATCCTTAGTCGTGATGGCACTCTTTTTATGCATGTATAACATTACCTTCTTCCTCAGCTTTTTAACCGACATCTCCTTGTTCTCAGCCACGCGCAGTACGGCCGTGATTGTTCCTTTCCAGTTAAATTTACCTGCTGACAAATGCAGAAAGATAAAAAAGATGCACATTTCACAAGTTTAGCAGGCATCTGACAAGTTAAGTACATGTATACACAACATTGCAGGTATAATCCAAAATACTTGCACATTGTTCTTGACCAGCTTAGCACAAAAATGAGGGCTCTCATACCTTTCTGTGCGCCATTTTCGCATTCGTCTTTCTTAGCCTCATCTGATATTTTACTCTTCTTCTTTTCTTGCTCATCTGAGAAACACAAGAACATTGTTCAAATTAAAACCACCAAATAATATTGCAATGGGGGGCTTGAGGTGTTGGCTCAGTGGTAAGTGCACTTGAGTTTGATTCCAAACCATGGCCAAAATTGGTGGCGAGTGGTTTCTGAAATATCTTGAACATTTCTGGACTCGCAATCGTTCATCAATTCACATTGAGCTGCACGGTGAAATATAGTGAAATAATCACCATGACCGAACGGCATGGGGAGGCCTTTATCAAGCACTGGATTTAAATAGGAGTATTTTTTATTTATTCCTAAAATACATTACTACACGGAAGGGAAAAATAAACAGCAATGTCCAGTAAACTGGAAGATGACCAGTGCTGAACTAAAATGTAAAATGACATTATGCAAAAAAATCCTTTAAGTAAGGCCTGTTTGTGATGCCAATTTTAATTTACATCAGACACGCTAGGACCAGGAGTTTCAATATTCAGGTGAACTACGAAAGTGAAATGTCCATTTTTGGATACACTTGCTAGCAAATGCTTTTTTTTACAACCTGAAAAATACAAGCCGTCAATATTGTCAGCTGGAGGTGTAGTTATCGTCAAACTATGCGTATATGTTAACAGTGATGCCGTTTTGATGACCACCACTCACCTCCATTGCGTTTGACCTTTTTAGCTTTGCTCGGCTCTTCGCTATTCTCCTTCTCACGAGTCGCCTCCTCGGCCTCCTCCCCCTTCCGCTTGCGTTTCTTTTTCCCTCTAGTCTCTCCATTCTTCTGCACCTCCCCATTGCCCTCCTCCGCCGCCTCACCCTCTTCTTCAGTCGCCTGTCCTTTCTTGTTTTTCTTTTTACTCTTCCTGCTCTCTTCATTTTGCTCCGAGTCATCGGTGTTCTGAATCCTCTTATCCTTTTTCTCGACCCTGTTTTGCTTTTGCCGCTCCTCCTTCCTCTCTTGTTTACTCTTTTTGCGTTCCACGGGTTCCTGCTTTGTGTTTTCATCATCCAGCGAAGTCCCGCCATTCGTGGGCACCACATTGCTTTGTGGAGTCTCCTCATTCTCCACCTTGTTCTGCTGCTGGTGGTTGGGGTTAACTTGGTTCTGGACAGAAAGAAAACCCAATATAATGTTAATAACGTTTAATATTGTAAAGTATTAATTTTGTTCTTCATCACAGCTGTCACAATAAAACAAAAGGTAAAACCACGTCCTTGACGAAGAGATGAGTGCTGTGGAGTTGGCGGCTAGCTACATAGTATCTCTACATTCATTAAACTTGATTACATTACTGGTCTTGTTTGATCAGATTGTATTGTTTACAAGCCTATCATTTTGTACCATCAATTGTATTACCTGCATCAATCTACCTGTACTATGTGTCCTCGTCTGTATTGTTTGTACTGTCTGCGCCATTTGATATTGTTTGATCCTGTGCTCGCTCTTGCATATTATGTCTATGCCGTCCTTAGTGTCCGTCTCATGTTTAATGATTATTGTTTTTTCTCCCTCTCCAATGTGAACTGTCTTGTTTTGAATAACTTCCCCATTTCTATTGCACGTCTCGTGCTTCTGTTTTCCCCGTTTGCAATGTCTGGCTCTTGTTTGCACTCTTCTATTTATACTGTCTGCATCATGAGTCCATAGTAAAAAAAACATTGTTGAAACACTCCTCACCATAACCCTACCACCTTGCTTGAGCTCAGAGGCAATCGTTTAATTGGTCCAGTCCCCTCCAGGCACCAGAGCCTTTGGCTCCAACGCAGAAACTTCCAAACCTCACGACCAAACTGTTCTCTTACGTGTGGTGAATGATCTTTCTTTAGACCCTGGATCACTCCCAATTGGAGTTCTCCACGAGCATCCTGATGCTTATGACACCACAAATAAGAGTCCTGCAATGGGTTGGGTACTCAAGGATACCCCGTGGGCATCCCACAAAATGAGTCGGTTTCGATTAATTCCGAAGACGTGTTTAAGGCTTGCAGTTCATCGCAGGTTACTCGCGGTGACCCCTTGACTGGCCTGTCGAAGCCCCAGTCAGTCAACCTTCACTCAGTGGGGGGTTGCCCATTCTACTCTGCTGCCCACGTAGTCTGGAACCGTGTTCCCCCTGCCATCCATACTTGCTCTTGTTCAATTCCATGCTTAAGACTTTGTTTTTTTCCTCTGCATAAGCCAACTGTTTCTGTACACTGGTTTTATATGCGGTCTCATGTAGACATTACATAATTATAAATTACATTGCACTGTACACAGCAAGATAACCGTCATTAAGCTCATACATTCAATTACAAAACTTTTTGTTCCAACATTTCATACCAAAGCCATATGACGCGACCTGTAAAACAACACGAACTTCAAGCATGAAGTAAAACCACAAATAGTGACATTTGGGAGCTGACACAAATGGCATTGCTTGTCATATGCATATGCTTGAGCGCAATGCACAAAGTTCGAGAGGAGAGAGCACCCTCACCGCATGTGCCGAGGAGAAGACCTCCCACACCCTGTCCAGCAGCTCCTGCTTGTGAATACGCAGGCTGTTTTTCATCCAGTTCTAAAGAAAAAAACATTTCCCACAAACAATGCAAATGATACGAGAAGACACAGGGAACAATTGCCACTGGCAAATATTAACCTTGCACGCCCCTTGGATAGTGGATTTAATATTTACATGTATTGATTAAATGACTTATGAGTCGTTCTCCTCACCGTACGTACAAAAGAACTTCGAAAATATACGTGATTTTGTACATAAATACAAATTTCATGGCATCTGAAACCAAATACATTTTACAATATTCATACAATTTATTACAATAAAAAAGTGCTTTCTTTTTAAACTTCCAAATGAAAAATGCTGCTGTAATTACAAACTACTGTATATATTTAACCAATAATTACCAAAAATTACAATACCTGGAACTTTGGCTTCTTCCTTGGGACATTGTCATAGCCAACAATTGAGTTCATGATATCACGGACCTGGGGGCTGATGCCTGGGGCATTGATTGCGTCTTGTACTTTCTGAAGAAATCAAACACAAATCAAATTATGCGGTGATACTAATGGCACATGAACTAGCTGCAACCAAAGTAATGCATTCAAAAGAGTCTTTTTTTCCAACAAGAAACTGCAAAATTAAATGTAATTATATTTCTTAGCATGTCAGCATGTTTATTCGCATTGTTTTAAATAAATACACTTAGGAGTGCTATCTCTTTGATAGAGCTAGATAGCGAGTTTGTGCGTAAAATTTTTATTTAAAAATGTATCTACCTCGGTGAACATGACAACGATGTAATCAGGGCAGTAAAGGCACAGTTTTTTTAAAGAATAAAATGTAAACATTTAGCCCGAGTTGTTATCTCCTTCCATATAAGGAGTTACAGGATTGAAGCAACATAATCAGCTCAGTTAATCTGCAGCTTGCAATGTTCTGGTGCAGACACAATGCACGAGGTATGCATTTATACAAAACACAGAGGAGGCACACACCAACTACAGATAACCATCTGCATTGCCACAAATTGAGCCCAGACAACTGAGCTGGCACACCGTGTATACCACGAGATGGTGATACCATGTATTTTGATTTAAAGCTTTCGTGACTGCAGGGATTCATATTCTTGGTTCTTTTGGTAAAGTCACGTAGAAGGAAAATAATATTAATATAAAACAAAAATTCTCACGACGTTTCGACTGCTGTGGATTTCACACCTGTTGGGGATTGCTTGTGTTGCAGTCGAAACGTCGTGTGAATTTTTATTGTTTTATATTTATATTATTTTATTATTTCCCTTCTACGTGACTTTACCGAAAGAACCAAGAATATGATACCATGTATGTTCACTACACACAAGACTCTGCGAGAATACCACCAGGCTCACAACACGCACATTAAATCCCATGGTGAGTAAGAACTGGGTATGTCCGACTAATACAAACCATACGCAAATGAGACGTGCATATTACATCAAGGTTAATGGAGGGAAATAAAAAAGTAAATATGTAACAAAAAAATTGAAGTAGAAAAGAACGAAAAACTATTTTTGTTTATCGAATTATGCCTCGTAGTTGTGAAAATTCATTGAATCGCTGGGGAAGGTGAATTATTTTATACCAAGTGAGTACACTGGACCATTACGAGTCCTCATGAGAGTGCATTACAAGCCACAATTACCTGCAACCACAGCTGCTGCTTGACATCTCCTTTGTTGGCCTTTGCCTCAAATCCCTTGCCACCGTACTTCTCGTTCTCGGTGATGCACCGCAGGTGTGTTTTGTAGTCCTGACCTCTGTGCAGGCAAAGAGATTACAAAACACGAAATCTTATCTCATCTTATATAGGTATATATAGCACCTTATTCCAAAGCACTATAAAAAAATGTTCAATAACAAATACGTACAAGCTCAACAGACCTACCATTTTAAGACTGTTGTGGGGCATTCTGGGTACTACATGAATCACCTTCCAAATCTCAATACGATGGACATCACTAATGCCATGGCTGGACATATGGAGGTTTAAAAGGCTGAAACTTACACAAGAAAAGCTTCAATAGACTAAGTGTATGTGGGTATAGTTGTTATTGGTTGAGCTCAAACTATAGTTTAATGATTTTATAGGTAAGATTACATTTTTATGAGCACGGTGTTTGTTGAAGATGGCATTACATTAACACTCAGATGCTGTTATTAATTCTGAGTATTGTATTTAATTAGAATTTCACTTCATCTTGAATTGTTCCGTGGAACGTGTTTTCTACATTGATGTATTTTATTTAAGAACCTTTGAAAATGTAAAGTGTTTTTTTGCATAAATGGCTCTGAGCTGGGTTTTCCGGTGAGTGCAATATCTTTCAACCAAATCCTTACCGGAAGTCCTTGCCACAATCGATGCAGGACAAGCACTGGCAGTTACGGCATACGTTCAAATGCTTCTCCACCTGGGCCTTCTTCACAGACTCCCCACATGCATCGCAGGTGAAGAACACCATGGTCTGCTTCTCTGGCACCTCAAAGCACAACAGAAAAGCCAGAGTTAACAAAAATACAGCTCAACTGCCACTGATTAGACTATGGCACCTCAAAGTACAACAGAAAAGCTGAGACTTAAATAAATACATACAGCTCAGCTGCGAATTAGAACAGACCTGCATCGACCACTAGGGGGCAGGCAAACATAAGACAAGAAGACCTTCTTCCACACTTCACCTCTGACAACAAAACGTTCAATTCAATATTCTTAGGTTTTTTCGGTAAAGTCACGTAGGTAAAAAATTTAAATTAATTAAAGTAAAATAAAAATAAAATCACGACGTTTCGGAGGCAACACAAGCCTCCGTCTTCAGGTGGAACCGTCACAGCACGCTCGCTGTATCACTTGATACAGCTAATTTTATTTTTTTTACCTACGTGACTTTACCGAAAAAACCTAAGAATATGAATCCTTGCAGTCACGAAAGCTTCAAATCTAGAAGTTCAATTCAATGTTGGACCACAAAAGTTGAGGCTTAACATCGTTGTTTCTTGCCCTGACGATAGCAATCTGCCGCTTAAACAATGTGTCTGCTCTCGACTGTAATGTACTATGGTGGGTGTATATTCACTTGAAATTTGGTTTGATACGGAGCAGGAGAAATAGCAGTCTAGCCGGTTTAAATTACTTACCGTTAAAATCTATTAACCCCGATCATGGTCTGGGCACCAGAGCACACTGCACAACATCCATTGCGGTATTGTACAGTATGTCTATGCTCCCCCACTTAACCAAACCACACTGTGCACAAGATAACTTATGAGAGGACATGTTTATCTGAAAGTTAACTTGTGGTGTTTCAAAATTGCCATTTTAGGATGTCAAAACGTTTTGAATGTACATGTGCGCTTTGTTGAAACGCAGCAGTTTCATAATTTGGCAAGTGCTCTAGGAAGTAAAAGCTAAGACTTACGCTTTCAGCTGTGCAATAACTTTTACTTCCTCATTGGCCTCCACAGTTCTTACTCGACTGTCCCCTTAAGGTATGACCATTGTTTTAAAGCTGCATGTGATATGTTTTATGTATTGTTTGATCAACAGGGCCATAGGCTCCATTTACTTGCAATGCATCCAAATTGCGAATCTTTCGTGCATTTTTTTCTAAATTCATGTTTTGCTTTACTCCATTCACCTCTTACTTTTCTTGCAAGTTTGGACTATAGTAATTGTTGCGATCACATTAAAGCCACGTCGTTGGATACATTTTTAGTAAAACGACTTTATATCTTAACATTTTTTATATTTTCCAAAAACCGAGGCTTTACCCAATGACCTATATTCCAGGCCAGAATCTTCAGTTTTTTCGCAAGCTCCCGTCCCTTTACAAAACAATGTACACATATAAAGAATCAACACGTGACACCACGTGCAATCACTGTACAAAGATGTGCCATGAGATACGGACGTTTGCCACTTGGGATGAGCAATATTGAAGAGGGAATGAAGTAATACTGACGGGAAGGATGGTACATCATGAGGATGTGTGACAGAGGAAATAATACCACAGTAAAATGTGTGGGAATCAAAGGCTTTGCACTGCATCTTGTTTATGGTGCCACTGTTTTATTGGGTGTTGAATTTATTGCATTTGAGGTTCCATAACGGCCCCTTGGGGTCATGCGTTGCGACGTATTGTGGGAAAACTGATCTGAAAAGCACTGCTGTGTGAGTTTAATCGACCAGATAAGAACCCGAGACAGACATCAGGCAGCAATAAAATAATATACAATGGTCTTTTTTCTATTGCTAAAACACATGACCGTTTAACTCCATCAATAGAAATTTCAGCAGAAACTGCTTGAGCAGGCCAAGCCTAGAACAGTTTAAAATTACAACACTACACTTTCTTAGTCTCGCCAGCAGTATGTGATATGCTGGATAAACGTTTACTAGAGACGACAAATCCGATCCAAGTAAATGCGACTGGAAAACCCCGATCTCAAGGCCCATAAACAGACCCCTGGCCATGACTTTGTACCCCACGGCCATCGAATTTGCGCCTGACCATTAACCATTGAACAACTGAGCATCGTCTGTTATTTCCTTGACCACCCCCCCACCCCCGACATAAACGCTAGTACTGTAACGTGTTGCCTCGGTCGATTGTACATTCACTGCCGGATGAGGGCCGAGGGCGTTATTTGATTATACTGTGACCAAAAAGATCTCCAAAATTCTAAACAAGCATAAGATCCAAGTCCGATTCAGTACAGTGCATAAAATCCGTGATTTGATTCCATCTGTGAAGGATGTCGTTCCTGACTTACAGTATCCTGGAGTCTACAAATTGAGTTGCATTTGTGGTCATTGCTACATTGGAGAAACGAAACGTCATGTTTCTGATCGTGTCCGCGAGCACAAGTCAGATCTGAAACACGGCAGAACTGATTCTTCGGCCGTTGCCGATCATTGCTACAACTCGGTGGGCTCTCATGAAATTGTATTTCCCGAGACCAAGGTTCTCTGCAAACCTCCTGGCTACCATCAAAGGTTTGTACACGAAGCCATACAAATATACAAACACAGACATAATTTCAACCGTGATGACGGTTACAAACTGAGTAATCATTGGAAAGATGTGATTGACCATGCAAAAAAGATTTAACTACACTTATTTGCCAATCTTATTTGACAGGCAACCATTACTGTTTTACCATGTTTAGTGGTGGTCTCCCTGTTACAGGTTGAGTCACAAACCGCACCTCTCCATATTCTTAGTCTTAAGCCTCACCTTACCATATTAATAATAAGTATGCGGCCCTTGCCCCACCACCTTCTCCAACCATTATATAAACGCAGTGGTAGCTCCTGCAATCTCTCATTTACTTGATACAGCTGTCGTGGCTTTTGACGGTACCACCTGAAGACGGAAGCTTGTGTTGCCTCCGAAACGTCGTGATTTTTAATTTATTTTACTTTTTTATGTTTTTACCTACGTGACTTTACAGAAAAAACCTAAGAATATACTGTACTTCCAACACATTGCTCTCCGTACGAGTTGAAGGCGGAGAGCATTCAAAGCTTTAACAACTTGGCAAGTACCGTACAAGGCACGCAAGCTGATCTATATGCTCGTACCTACTGAATAGTCCCAATGCATTTCCATGCACTGCCCTTGGCCTAGCGAACCAAAAAACACGTTTCGTTTCGCCATTAAACAAAAAACATTGAGGTTTTCAGGGTTATATGTCACCTGAGGACGGCTGCTTGCGTTGTGGCCGAAACGTCGTGAGAATTGTATTGTTTTATTTTTATTATTTCCATTCTACGTGACTTTACCGAAAAAAACAATAAAATGTTACCGTAGTTTCCACAGACTTTTGGTATTGCATTTGATTAATTCGGCGGTGAATACGACCATCGTGTGTTGTGTATCAATGAGAAGCCCTGTGAGCCGGGCAACGGAGACGCAGGCCATTAAAGCGACGCGGGTGCTATACGGGGCAAGTACTTGCGACTCGCCCACACTTATCAAACTTCCAAACCCTGCTTGCCTGCGAGGTAGCCAACGCAATACCACACAAAAATGGGTTACGGAGTTTTGAGCGGCATCGCCTCCAGTACAACCCTGTCGTTAATTCATCCACAGTTCAACGTGTGTATTGAACTGTCCAAATTATACCGAAGCAATTCGGAGTTAATGCTCTGCGACATTTGCCTTGACACGAACACGCCGTTGTGTTCTCATCTCTTAGCCCGCTTTGCCGGCGCTCCAAATTCCAATACGGAGGCCACGTGGCGAGCGCTCCCCGCACCAACTCAGCTCCCTCCCCCACCCCACCACAAGTCCCACACGGCAAAGCAAAACGTTCCAGGCACAAGCTGGACACTGGGGTGACCATCACCCCGTCCCGTGTTACCTGAGTCCAGCGCCGAGATCCTCAAAGACTCTGTCTGCTGCTGCTGCTAAGTATCGGCTCCGTGTCCTCCACCCACGTGTTTCCCTCTGACCCTTCACCTCTCACCCCGCGATTCGATTCCACGATTCAGGTGAGTGGTTGAGTTACGATTCGGGAATCGATTCCTTTTGCGCCCTGGGTTTTTGCAGCACATGCTGAACCACAATGAAGGTTTGTTGGGTTTTATTTATTTTGGGTGGGTTAGATCGCGTAAATTTCATTTAATTTCATGTATTTATTAGGTATAGCCCTGTGAGCCATTCGGCTCTTGAATTGGGTGCAACCGGAACAAACAAAAAACATGAACAAGAAAACATCTTAAAGTGACTATGTGCAAAGAGAAAATCCAAGAAAAGACAGAAAAATATTGCATAAAAAGCACCGTACACCAACACTGTGTGCAAAAATCCCAGTGGGATGCAAGTCAAACAACAACAACCACAAGACACCGCCAATTAGTGTGACTAGGTTCAGTACTCCGGTGTGTTGGCAAGTAAACCCACAACAACTTTTACAATTCGAGTTCCTGGCGCTTGGCTGGTGATTAACAACAACAAACACAGACATTTCGATTTAAAGCTTTCGTGACTACAGGGATTCATCTTCTTGGTTCTTTCGGTAAAGTCACGTAGAAGGGAAATAATACAATAAATAAAATTCTCACGACGTTTCGGCCACAACACAAGCAGCCGTCCTCAGGTAAAGAACAGGGCTGTCTGAAAGATACCACTCCAATCAGGGGCGGTTTCTTCATTAGGGCGATTGGGCGACGCACCACCAATGTCATTCAACCACAGAGTCACGCTAGCCGTCACTGTCAGCCTCTGGATATAGTCCAATCAGCGTCATGTCACGTTCTGTGGAGTACCGCCTCTTTTTGGGCGATTTCACTCCGGCTGAGAATCGCCCCGAGTGGCCCCATAGACTTACATTCAAAGATGTTTTTTTTCGAACGGGGGCGCTGCAATGCATTCTCTATGGCTTCCGGGAGGGCTCGCCCTAACGTGCTTACGTCATCATACGTGCTTACGTCATCATACGTGCTTACGTCATCATACGTAAGCACGTTTCATCCAACAATATAATTTGTGGCCACCTAGTGGAAACTTTTATAAAATAAACTTGAGTGTTTGTTTTAATAGTGAGTATAGAAACAAACAAGATGTATTGTAAGAGTCACTTTATTTTTCATTAATATTAAAGAAGTGAAGTTGCCCTTACATGCTTAAGCTGTTAATTTATCCATTGCATGGGTGGACCTTATCCTTATCAATCATCCAGACATTTGCCCCCCCTGAGAGATTTTGCAGGAGCCGCCACTGACTCCAATGAACACTGCTAAGCTTGGCAGCGCCTTGACAAAGGAGTTGACAAATCAACAGAAGAATTTAGCTTTGAATAAGCTGTGTTAATGTGAGAGAATTAGCAGGATGTTAAAGTCAGAAATTAGCATGTAACTGGGAGATTAGCATGATGTTAATGTGAGGAATTAGCATGTAACTGGTCACGGAAGTGGCTATGTTCAAGTGAAAGTTTACATATCAACAGAGGCATTTAGTATATTGACGCTAAAGAACTGCAACCACCCACTATCATACAATAAACCGATGTGAAAGAACTAAATATAAACTACATCAATATAATCAATGTACTCAATATATTCTCCAATAAGCTGAGCTATTAACATTAAGTAACTGGGTATACAATACACTATATAATGACTATCATATAGTGAACCGAAAAAAAAAACAAAAATATAAACTACATCAATATCATCAATATACTCAATGTAATCTCCAATAAGCTGAGCTACTAACAATAAGTCTATACATTACACTTCAATGTCGCAAAAACTACAAAAAATGACATGTCAACCCATACGGTTTACTCCGTATTCTTGCACACGGAAATCGAATATTCACGTCCATACGGCATACAGCTGTTTTAATGCGGGCAAAAAATATTTAATTGTCCATTTGTGTTTCTTCCTCGTGATGAACTTTGAGAGTTGCACGGGGTGACCGATAAGGTCTGAATTGGTCTGTCATAAGGTAGACACTGATTAGGGGTTGACAGGTATGGTTTATATTAACGCAATCTAACCCACAATCTAACCCACAAAAAGTAGTTATGGATATTGGTCGCCGAAGCCTTGCTGCCCACGACTTACTGCGTGTTAATCTTGCCCAGCATCGGAACCGCCAACACGACAGAGTTGTAAGCACAAAGAATAACCATTGGAACCTCCTTTGCCAGTAGCAAAATATGATAATTGTTTTGACCCTTTTATCTGGCAACAAAACTGACACCTTTTTTTTACAAGGAGTCATGTTTGCATTGACCACAATACCTGCGGTCGGAATGCAAACAAAAAACACAACTCTGATAATGTATGCACTGTCCTTGAAATTGATTGGTCCACACCCGAGACAGCTTTTCTTAGAGCCTAGTCTCACATGGTGTTGGACCAGATGACGCATAAGGCGCACAACTCAAAAACAATGAACCATCAGAGTATGAGAGCTCGGGGAAGCATTTACACCATTGGGACCTCCTTTGCCAGTAGCAAAATATGATAATTGCTTTTTTACCCTTTTATCTGGCAACAAAACTGACACCTTTTTTTGAACAACTCAACACATTCTCCAATAACGCTGTGCGTATGTGCGGCCTTAAAAGGGGAAAACATAATAGGTGACGTTCAGGGTAATGGCCCTTCATAAGGGTCCGTCCATAAATGACGTCACGCAATCTTGGACGATTTTTGACCCCCCCCTTCGTCACAAAAGTCAGACCCCCCCCTCAAATATGACGTCACAAAGCTCTGCCCCCCCTCCCCCAAATAAAACATGTTTCAAATCGCTTTAAACTATTGTCATTGTAGTGCATATTTAATGTGCCGCTGCACTCTGATGTTGTAGGAGAAAACATTTATTAAAAAGTCAATTTCATTAAATGGAACGTGTTGTTCATATTTATTTAAAGTTGCGCATTTTGATGTGACGTCACATTTCTCACCCCCCCCCGTCACACATCGTCACAAATGTCTGACCCCCCCCCCCCCCCTAGGTGTGTGACGTCATTTCTTTTCGCAATATAAAGCGGCTGCTTCATTAAAGCCAAATTGGCCACAGATTGAATAACAAATGCAGCGTTTGTTTTCGCCGTAATGACATTAAAACAGCGGAGATACGATACTAAACTGAGTTCGTCTCTTTAACATCCGCAGTCTATTCCATTGTCAATGACCTCTCTATGCCGAGTGTTCGCTCACTCTTGACCCTGTGGTTTGGGGGGATGTTGTGTTGTTGCCAAATGTTGTTGCTGTGAACGTTTGACTGGTTTCCATGACACATCGACAAACTTCTACTTCGCCGTGTAATCGCTCACACTCTGTATAAACCAGTGACTACAGCTCTTGGTAAACACGCAGTCCTTCTATGGGACCCTTTTGTGTGTGTCAGTATCAAGACGACGAATGCAGACCCGATGCCTTACATCTTAGCACTTCTTTTACTGCCAAAAAGGGCAAAAGCCTATTGTTTTATCAACGCTGTCCTTCCTCTCACCTCTTCTCCGCTAACGCAATGATTGCTATTCCATTCCCGAAGTGTTCAATCAGACACGAGGGGGAAATTCATCATCATCATCATCAGAAGCCGTGATCAATCCACTGATGGAAGAAGGCATCCTCCACAAAGTCACCGCCATCTCTGACGGTTCTCCGATAACGATGGTGGTAACAATCCACGTAGCACCAGCACATGGGGTGAATTTGTCTGCTCCATCTCCTGATCGGTAGACGTTCTCACGGAAGAGTTACTACATTCCTCCTTGGCTGGGAAATGGTCTCTGCATATTTTTGCATGTCCCTCTGTATGTACACTATTTTCTGATTTGACCGCAGCTGAAATGTTAAATGTCCCCGGTGGCCTGTCGTAAGTCTAAAGGCATGGACACCCCCCGTATTGTTTTACGATTTTCCTGTAAGGCCCTCTGTCTCCACGGACTCGCATTGGTTAGAGCAGGAGCTATATATCCCAACATGTGTTGCACAGAAGACCGCTTCAAGGTCAGTGATGGGGAAAACGTGCACGTGGTTGTGATGGATGGAGAACGTGTTCTGTTTGGTGGGATAAGTGATGGTGACGATTTCTGTTTTCTTAAAGTAAAACTAAACGAATTTAATTTTGCCAGTTAAGGCCCGGTGAGCTATATTGCTCTTTTTCAGAAGCGATCTGGCCACAAATGAGAGCTCAATTAAGTGGCTTATCAAGTGATGTGGACATTTTTAGCAGCCCAAAACTCTAAACGCATGTTGATTCTATATAAATACCTGTCAACCCATACGGTTTACCCGTATGCTTGTACAGGGAAATTGACTGTAGGATGAACGTTGAGATTGATAAGGGCACGGGGTGACCAATAAGGTCTGAATGGGTCTGTAATAAGGTGGGCACTGATAAGGGGTTGACAGGTATGTGTATATGTGGAGGGGAAAACGGGAAGACCCGGAGAAAATTCCACACGACCACGGAGAGGATTGCAAACTCCAAATATACGGCAGGCGTCAGGGTCAGGATCGATCCTCCGCCTTCGTGCATATCAGGTAAGTGGGTAGAATCTCGCTACCATGGCGCTATTCTTGCGTATGGCAGCAATACGTTCAGGAGCTACATTCCAATGTCGAGGCCTGCAAGCCACAGGAGAGTTCGTGTAGTTTTGCCATTAGCGTTGAAGGAGGTGTTTTTGATGGTCCATAGTTTGGGAAGCATAAACACGGTCGTACTTTGGCTTGAAGGAGACGTGCCTGTTGTTTGATTCGATTTATGATTGCAGGAGGAGCAATGATTTTTGGGGTCTCCAATGAGGCGATTATTCTGGACATCCACGTTGTTCCACTGTTCTTGAGTATTCTTCCGGATCTGGGTGATAATTGTTCAGATTCAGGTAAAATGTAGAGATTAAAAACGTTCTTCTTTAGACATTAATTGGCATGTTTAGCATTATCAAGTGACACTTTACAACATCGCTCCAACGCGCTCTCACGGTGGTGCTACTGGACAGAGC